AACCAGGCACCACTTGTTGGTTGAAGGGAGACAAACACAAAAACAAGCACACAGACAGGAGCCCTGATAGTTTCTGGTTCAATCGATCTGAGTCAAACAATAACGACTCACCCAGTCCCAACACCCACACAACAACCTACATCCCTCCATTAGGTGTTTTCTTGGCCAAGGTGCATGTAAGGGTTCAAGTGTACAGCGTGGGACCTGTTTTTGCGATCTTACTGCTAAAAATACATCCAGGCTTGGACTGTTAATCTGTGATACCTGGCATTTGCCCGGTGGGCGGTCCTAATTTCAGCGTGGGAGGGCCGGCCCTCCTTAAATCATAGCGGTCCCAACACTTACTGCGCGGCCGAAGCTCCTACCTGTGACAGTAAATATCTCAAGGAGCTAAAGTAGTAATCCAATGATAACTACCTAAATGATGCATGCAGTATATATAACCCTTCCTTGTCATGCACGTCCTTGTTTCTTCAAACTGTAAAATGCAACAAATTAAATAATAATAGAACTAAAATGCTTTCTTTAAACCAAACTACGATGGTCCTCTTATATTTGGTGGATTTATGTTAGAATATTTTGCAAAAATATGTCGCAGTGCATGATGGGGTTTTGCATTTAAAGGCTAACGTTTTCCGTCTTAAACATTGTTGCAAGGTTGGGATGTTACCCAATCTGTGTCTACAATCTAGTCGTCACTCAGTAGCTCTTGAGTCCAGTACTCAAGAGCTTCCTTCCTGTAACTTTTAGATGCATCTTTTCTCTAACACACCTGAATCGAAAGGCTCAATCCTCTCATTTAGCCCAGCAGAGGCATGGTAACGAGCCACTCATTTGACTCAGATGTGTTAAAAATGGGGTTCATCCATCGCTATATGCAGGGTTGGTTGCCTTGTTATTTGCCAAATTCACCCAGACTGTGTTTACTTAGAGATAAAAGTGAGGTACCACTGTTAAACAGACATGCTTTTAGAGTGTTGAGCACTGCACTGGTCACATGTGCCCTACTTATTTTAAAGTTATGGAAGGACCCCCATACCCCAACAATCAGAATGTGGACCGAGAAAATGACTGAAAATGTTGCTTGTGAAAAAATGTTGGGAAGAATATATTCTAATAATGAAGCAGCCATGCAACAATGGGACAGTTTTTGCACATACACTCACCGGCCACTTTATTAGGTGCTAGTAATGGGTTGGACCCCCTTTTGCCTTTAGAACTGCCTCAATTCTTCGTGGCATAGATTCAACAAGGTGCTGGAAGCATTCCTCAGGGAGTTTGCTCCATATTGACATGATGGCATCACACAGTTGCCGCAGATTTGTCGGCTGCACATCCATGATGCGAATCTCCCGTTCCACCACATCC